TATAAGGAACTCGAATATGTAAGTAACAATTATGTAAGATTAAAATTTAACAAATATAACGCAATTCTAAAGATATTTAAGCGATTATCTAACAATTTTCGGGTGAAAATGACGTTATTAATTAATTTAATTAATATCATCGTATTCTACGTAAAATTCTATATAAAATTGATATATCACATGTTGACATTTTATATAAAATATTTCCCGATAAAAGTGGTCACTCCGGTCGATCCCGAGGTCACAGGACAATATAAATTACATATTCAGGCTTAGCAATGAATGGACTTTCATATCCAATCAAAAAATTCCGATTGCCAGCTTAGCAAATTCTGTATTGTATTATGACAAGGTTCTTAACATGAAAACGATGTTTTATTCGTGAAATAATATTTGCATTGTGCTTAATACTTTTATCAAATGTTATACAAGTAATTCCTTTGCTAATTGATAAATACAATAGATATCAAAAATCAAATCCAGTGGCTAAAACTTTTATAAAATTTTTGATATGCTTTCATAATATATTATATTTAAATCCATAATTAAATTATAGTGTAATAGTAATTAATCAACATTATAATTTTGCCAAAAATTTTATTACCTAATAAATATTTATATCCCATTTAAATAAAATTATTTTAAAACTTATTAAATAAATTAACATACTTTTGTAAAAGTTTGTCTACCAATGGTACTTGGTCTTTGTGTTCATCAAGCAATGTTATCTGGGTAAGTTTCTGATTAAATAGATCGTAATTTTCTTTTTGCTCATCCGTTGGATTTAAATTGATTTCAAAACAAATTTTAATTGTTTTTAATTTTTGGTCTAATTGGTTTTTAATAATTCCTGCGCGAAGGTTCTTGTTCAATAATGAATTCTTGCTCAATTCATCATTGAACAAGGTACAAAATTTTTCATATTTATTCTCGTCATTCATAGTATGTTGCCATGATTGTGTATTGTCATCTTATTTAATAAATACAAATTTATTATCAAAAGTGAAATTTTATAACTTACTTTAAGCAGTAAAATTATCAATATTACTATAATTTCAAAATGCCGATCTATTCATAGAATTTATATTTATTGTATATACTGTATAATATATTGAAATACACATTCAAATAAATTTAATAAGCACATTTATTTAAACACAAAATAAATCACAATAATGAGACACCAGATTTAACTTTAAATATCACAAAACATAATGGATTGTAACTAGCGCACACAGTTATTTTATTATCAACATAAAAATGAATTTCATTTAATGTTAAGTAGGGTATTATATTTTCAATGATAATTGTGATATAAGGGCGTGGGCAATTAATATATTAAATTCCCGCATTTTTATTATAATAAATAAAATACTAAAATATTACTTTAATACATTATGTCAGTATTGTCTGTCTCTACAAACAAATAAAATATTTTTCCGTATAATATATAATCTAATCTACTGAAAATTGCCTAATAAGTATGTAAGATTGATAAAACCACATGTACATCGACAACTTAGCACTTTTATTATGCTGACAAAATAACAATATAAAATTATATCTAGTAATTGAAGTAAATTAAATACTATTTTTATTAATTATAAAACTAATTCTGTATTACAATATTGTTAACAATACTGGAAATTATAGCAAGTACAATATTTTTTAATTTCTAAAAATTATTAATTTTGTAGATTGTTGATAATAAGATTTTACCGTAGCATTATATAAAATGCTTTATCACACTTAAACTTTGACCTTACTACTATAATAAAATAATATAGGCTATAATATACAATTATATGTGAATCATTAAATCAAAACCAGGATATGAACTCTGATTTCACAAGAGTGTAATTAGTATATAAAAACAGAGTTTAAATACCGCCTTTGTTTTAATACCTCTCATCATATTTATTACATAATTATTTTATTTTACAACTTATAATATTTATAAATAATATAAAACTGGAAATGCTTTAACAAATGATAGCCTTCAAGTGTTATTCAATAAAATACATTTAAAATATAATAAACTTTTGATATTAAATAAAATATTTGTAAATCTTAGATAATGTGCTAAAACCATTGTGGGAAAATGACTTATAATAAATAATCACCGACAAAATATTTATAATAAAATATAAAAGTTTATAAGTAAATATTTAATAAAACTGCACAAAACAATAAAACACTTAAAGTACATGTGTAGTTTATTAATATTACTTAACTATTATATTTTATTACATACAAATTCACATTATTTTATAAAATTATTGTAAACAATTTATCTCATTAATTTATATAGCTATGTAATATTTATAATTGTATTTTATAATTTTTAATCAAATAATATTAATTGCAAATACTGTATTATAATTATCAAGTATACGATTGCATCTATCTTTTATTAATAATAATGTAATTTAATTGCAAAATAATAATATTATTATTGTAAATATAAACATTAATTTTTAAAAATTAAATGCAATTAACATTTATTACAAATAATTTATATACCTATTTATACTATTTATATATCAATGGTTTATGCATCGATCAAATACAAGTTGATATGCGAGGGACAGCCGCTAGGCGTCGCCAAAAGGGTGTTATTCATGGCCTCAAGCGATCCGTTATTCATAACCGGCGTTAATCCGGTCGTCAACAGCTGGCTTATCTATAGTTTAGATTAATTATTTGCTTGATGAAATTAACCGAAATAAAAATAACTATAATACAGTAAATTTAAAATAAATTTTATTTAAAGTTTAAAAACAAAATTTTTTATACAAACTTAATTCAACTAGCACAATTATAATACGTTGTATTACTTAGGGCAAAAAGTGACCTCGTACCCAGTATACGGTTTACCATGACACGCAAACGTACTAGTTGCATCATCGTAGGCCCAGCTATAGGCATCGGGACAGTAGTGTTTGAAAGTGGACGGGTAGTCTACGGGCCAGTCCTTTTTAACGCACTTATCTCTGGGCTGGTGGGCACCGGTACAGCAATAGGCCTCTGTCCTAAACTTTGTACAGGCGCTCATACACGCGATAGTCTTATCGCCATCCTTAACCGCCAGTTCCCCGGGACAGTGAGCCAGCATATCCTCTATACATACCGGTTCCCCGCAGTTATAATGATCTGGACCTTGTTTATCAAATGTACCGGGTATCAGCGTGATACGCATGCCCACGTTATAGCCGTCGACTAGGCTAATATCATACCAGTCCATGTCACCGGTTTTTGCAGCAAGGTTCCACTCGCCCAGTGTGGTAGCCGTACCCCAATCACCTGTTTTGCATTGCGAACCGTCCGGTTGGCATAGGGTGTCGGCCCATATACGCCCGGCCCAGCCCTGGTTAATGTTGAAGTTATGAGTGGCACCGGTAGTTAGTGTGAACCGACCACCTTCTGGGCTGTAGTGACCTTGATTGCCCAGGGTCCGTGCCCATACAGTGAAGGGACAGTCGTTTTTGATACGGAATTCCCCTCCATAGCATGTGGCAAACAGTAGGGATAAGCTTATGAAAAGTTGCATGTTGTAATATTAAGTAATTTACAGTTAAAATGAAAAATTTATATTATGATATTGTTTGTAAATTACCTTTTATATACATTCCCCTATTTCCAAATATGTATAAATTGAATGTGACATGTCAGGTTTACACTGCATCTGTTATTTAAAACATGATTTACAGGATATAACCAATTTTGGTTACTTATTTATTGGATGTACCAATATTTTTATTTAATTTAAGTACTGTATTATAATAATATCTTTAACGAATGATAAAATTTTAGTTTTAAATTTTTATTATTAATTTGTTTACCATGCATTTTAATTATTAAAGTAAAATTTAGGTAGCTTACTTTTATTTGTACGCTGTTAATAAATTAAATGAAAATCTATTTTTAGTCCGGGTGCTATTAATGTCGGAAAAGTTGTCTCAAATTAAGATTACCCACCGTTGGGACGGGAGGGACAGCCGCTAACTATTTGCTTGATGAATATAACCGAAATAAAAAGAAACTTGATACAATAAATTTTAAAATAAATTTTATTTAAAATTTTGAATCGCAAAAAAATTATACAAAAATTTATTCAACTAGCACAATAATTTAGAATTTTATCTGTACTTATAATTCAGTAATTTTAAATTGTTAATAAAATAATTTAAAACTAATTACTAGAATCATTATTATTAAAAATTATACATGGGATTTTAAAATAAAAATAAAACTTATTTGGTTTTATCAATGAGATATCGATAAAAGAATTCATTGCGAAATTGCTTGGTTATTTCTTTTATAGAGTCAAATGTGTTGTTCGTAATCATTGTAGGTATGTCCACAGTCCATAAATGGCGTTCCCTTAATACGTCTCGGCATGTTGCTCTATTTTCATATTTATATGTAAGCATTTTATCTAGCGTATTTAACAATGGCTTAATATATGGAAGTATGGGGCTCGTTGCATAACGATCATCGCTATTAAAAATTATACAATATTAGTCGAAGTTCAAACAAAAATTATAAGACATTGATTAATAAATTAATATTGCACATTTTTTCTAAAGCAAAATATGCAATACTAAACTATGCTCTATATTATATAAAATATATTATATTTTAGATAAGTACACATTTATGATACTGAACAATTACAAAAACATACTCGTTGACATTTAAATCAAACAACTCCGTGGCCACTTTAGCGGCACTGTAAACGTCAGCCTTCGTATTGTAACGAGTCTTATTTGGTGAGGCCGAATTGTGTGTATCAATCTCCGGTGCCCTATATTTCACCGTGCCCACTTTGTTTGTATGACTCATCGACTTATTATTATGTACAATCGCCAAACCAAAATCGCCCAGCTTAATATAGCGACCGTCGTTCAACTTGTGAGCAATCAATATATTATCAGGCTTAATATCGCGGTGAATAAGTGGTACTTCCAAGTTGTGCAAGTACTCGATGCATTCAAGTAGCTCGATAAATATTTCGCACGATATAAAGTATTCGTACACGTTCATTAGGCCCTCCGATTTTCGACCAAATACTTCCGGTTTTTGTTCTATAATTGTTCGTAAACTTTGCGAACAATATTCCATTTTAATGAGTAATATGTTGTTCTTGATGGAGCTGTCGTAATATTGGACACAGTATTTGGGATTATTAACCGCTATTAGGCTTTGTATTTCACGTTTCCAATTATCCAGCTCAGATGCTATTTATTAAAAATAAAAATTATTAAATATTTTGTTACTTTACAATTTTATAGTTTAATTAAATACAATTTAATTAATTATAATAAATTTAAATTATAATAAATAATAAAGCAGACTGTAAAAGTTAGTCGCTGTACAATTAATACTTTATAATACATTAAATACTGGTACCTCATTTGGAAGTAATTGCCACTAATATTATGTATCAACTTAGATTTATCAATTATTTTATAATAGATCAACATTAAGAAATACTAATTTAATTAATAACTAATTTAATATGTTTTACCTTTAATTTTAATCTCCTTAAATGCAAACAATTGTTGATCCAAATTATGTTTAGCTTTAAAAACTATACCAAAACCCCCTTGGCCTAATTTCTCAAGTAATGTGTATTCTTCTGAAAATGGATGACTTCTAAATTCTTCATGCTCAAATTCGATAACAGAATTATGTGCTAACAAAGCTTGATCTATTATTAAATATAACATTAGTTATTTAATGAAATATATTAATAAAATGTTATATGATTATATGATTTATACCTAACTGATTTATTAAATCAATTTGCTCCAGTATCCTTTTTTCTGATAACCGGTACCGGGTTATATCAAGTTTAATAGTTGTCTCAGGTTTCTTATTAATTACGATGTCAATACAACCTGTATTAGCAATATAAGTTAGTTTAAGACTTCATTGATAACTTTTTTGAACTAGATGACTTTGCATATGATGCTCGCTGAATTGAATGCGTTTTAAATAATTTATCATTTTCATATATTTTTATATCAATAGGGTAAGAATTCTTAGTTATTTTTGTCTCGATTTCGTATTTATATTTATAATCTTTTTTATTTTGAATCAGCGATATTAAATAGTGAGTTTCCGATTCAACTCGATCATTCAATCGATACTCAATAACAATTTTAATGGGAGTTTTAACAATGTCCTTTATCTCAATTTTGCCCATATTCTTTTCAAGCATTTGCGTGTAATATACGGTACCATTTGCCACTAATTTAACGGGGTCACAATGATACAGTAGATTGTTGACATAATTATTTTGAGTTATTTCATTTTCCAACGGGCTTATGTAATTTGAATTGCCAATAAGTAATACGCGTGCTAAATTTATCTTAATGGTTTTGGCAAATCGCCATATGTTTTCAACGTATTCTTTGGGAGACAAATTTATATCGGTGAATTGTTGACGTTCGTACCACAAATATTTAATGGCCGTATATCTCACTTTAATTATGCTAAATTCAAATATATCATCGTGAATCGCAATAACTGTAATATACTCAACGTGGTATTCCTTATATTTGCTTTCAATAATATATGCAATGGCCGCAGCAGACATTTCGGATATTGTTTCTATGTTATCGAACCCTGCAATCGAACCAACATCATGCATGGAACTAATTTGGGCTATGCTATAATAAGTGGGAAAAGTGAATACAGCATGGCGAACTTTGTTTTTCATCTGTTTTTCAGCGGTCTGTTTTAAGTCCCTAACTTGTAAAGCGATTAATGTTTCCACTATTAATTCATAATTCGTGTTAGGCTGGCTTCCTTTAGAATTAATTATTGCAGCAAGGGGGTTTAGTAGCCACTTGAAAGGATAATTTTTGAGATCAATATCTGTTGGCGAATCGCAACATAATAAATCATCAACAGACTTATTGCTACATTTTAAATGATTATCTGCTTCGTGACCATATATAAATGTCTGATCAAATGCGATTGAGTTTTTAATATATCGATTAAACAGGATATCGCAAATAATTTTGGCATCGCCATTAAAATATACAGGCACTAAAATGTGTTTTTCAAAGTATATACCAAGGTACTCCGTTTGTTTAGCCAAGCGAAAATTCTTGCGTTTTATCTTGCTCTTTTTCTCGTTTAGCGTATCTTCTAATCTTTGTTTTTCAGCTTCAATAATAAATTTTATATCTTCGGAATTGGTCGTGATACTTTTCATCTCACTGGATACTTCTGTAAATATCCTCGTTGTTATATTGTCTAACTGTCTACCAAGTTCCTCAAATTTGAACAAGTTCCCTTTTATAATTGACGTGTTTTTAGAAAAATCAAGAATTTTTTTACTAAATAATTTTGTAGTAAATTTGTAAATATCCGACAAACTTGGGTTAGCTAAATTAACTTTAATAGTTGGTTTGACATAATTGTATTTTACCATTCTAGTTTCAGGTTTATTATCATTTTGTTGACCGGTTAAAATTGTATTAAATTGTTCATCCTTTATCACATTTTTAAGATAATTTGCTTCACCCTGTTGTACTTGTTCATCCGATGAATGTTCTGACTTATTTTGCAATTTGATTTTATCATATTTATTTTCAACAGCAACTGAATCTATTTCGTCATTATTACCATGATTATTTTGCAATTTATCAATGCATTCGTTGCAATTAAATTTAATTGACCCATCTACATTATCGGTAGAATTATCTATTAAATTATTATTTTCGGCATCGTACTCAATTAAAATTGAGGCATTCGAATATTTCAAAAATAAAATATGTATTGTATTTTTAAAACTTTGTTCGCAAACGGAAAAGACTCTTGGTTTAATATTTGCCAATAGATCGCTAGATATACTGCACCAGATACTTTTAACAATTTCGTTATGTTTATCAAACAATGTACTGTAATCAATAGATGTGACACCATGCAAATATTCGATCATACTCTTTTCATATAGGCTCCTGCACATTTCATCGCACTGTGTTTTCAACTTTATATTACTTTCATTAATCGTGGATATCTTGTTCTTATATTCTTTAAGATCTTGCTCAAATAATTCATAAAATTTATTAAACAAATTAGCATCGTTATTAAATAACACAGAAATTACGTGTCGATTTGGAAAGTAGTCATTTAAATATTCATCATTAATACTAAAAGCATCGAGTTGGCATATACGATCGCAATTTGATATAAATAAATTATATATCTCGATAAATTTAATGTACAAAGGTCTTTGTTCATTGATAAATAAAGCTAATTTATCGGAATACGTTTGTTGTAGCTTTTTAAGGTTCATTGAATCGACATAAAAATCATGCAAAATTTCCTCGTTTATCGAATCGAATAATTTTTCGAAATTTGAACCATGCTCAAATGTTGCGCAACTACTGTGCCTTTCTAGGATAAGTTGTGAGAATTTAGTTTTATAATCCATCAACAATTTATCTGCCTCTGATATTTTAAATGTGCATATCTTTTCAAAATTATCTCGCTCATTTTGAATACGTTCGGTTAATAATTTCTTATAATGATCAACTACAGTTTGATTGAACGAAATATTTGCCATGTCAAATTCATTGTTGCATGTTGTTTTCATTAGATTATGACAATGTTCAAGTGTGCGTAATAAATATTGTGTCTCTTGATCAATTTTTGCTTGAACACTTTTTTTGTATTTTTTTACCAAACTTTGAATAAACTTTAATATTTCGTCATCGGAAAGGGTTTTAATCTTATTATTATTTTCAGAATATTTATTATCATGCGATAAACTTTCACTTGGTGAAACAGTCAATCTAGGTTTTACTGGTGTAGTGTTGATATTTAAGTTTGACACTTGGTTTACAATTAAGATACTATTTGCGTCAACCGAATTTGGTTCCATATCTATGAAAATAAAACATATATTTTGCTTTTTTGTATTTTACTCATGTTATATTAAAAATAAATAATTATAACCTTTCAAAATATTCTAGTTTTGGGATAAATTATCAAAATCTCATTTAATAATAAAATAATATTTTTAAAATTTTTAAACGCCTTACTAGTTTATTATAAACATTTTCTATTGCTGGTATTATATTTATACTAAATTATATTAAACTACAAATATAATATATTAAATTAACTCACCAATTGGTATGCTCTCAATGGTTTTATTACTTGGTAATATAATACTGGGGCTAATAATGTTGCTATTATTTTGTGCATCCTGTACTGAATCATTTTTGTTCAATTCAACTGTAGTACACGTATGATAATCTGGTATAACTTGCTGAGATATTGAATTGACAGGTTGCAAATTATTATTTGTTAATGTCACATCTTTGATTTCGGTAAAATTAATTAAATCATTGTCATTTATATTATCTGGACTAATTTTGGCTTGATTGTTTTGAGATGCTTTTACTTTGCTGCTACTAGTGCTAATAGGCTCAGTTAATTTGTAATTATTTAGTGCATTATTACATAGATGATTTTCAAATTTGGTTTTGAAGTTTTTAACGTTAACGCTTTTAACGTTATAAGATTCTGAATTTTGGGTGATGTTTATTTGTGGAATATAAATTTGATTTAGCCATGTTAATATTTCGGCCAATTCACTGCTATAAATATAAATTTAAAAAGTTATTTGTATTATAGACCAGGTTTAAATAAGGTTAAAATATTTATATTTTAGTGTCGGTATTTATATATTATATTATTGGCAATTTATACTAGTAATACTGTAATATGCAATAAATTTTACAAATATAAGCTACAATTAATTTATAAAGTTAACATAAAATATTATAATAATAAAATTATTAAAAATTAAGAAGACTGTCAGGATCCTGCTAAACTGGCAATCGGGATTTTTTGGTTGGATATGAAAGTCCATTCATTGTTGAGTCCGAATATGTAACTTATATTGTCTTGTGACCTCTAGTTCGGCCGCGGTGACCACTTTAATCGGGAAATATTTTATATAAAATGTCAACATGTGATATATCAATTTTATAGAGAATTTTACGTAAAATTCGATGATA